ATCTGACAAAAAAATTGATTTGTAGCAATGTACTTTGCAATTACATTGTTGAAAAAGGTTAAAAAAAGATGATCTGATCTGTTGCAAAAATAAGAAAAAAAATGATTTATAAGAATATACTTTGTAATCACATTGCTAAAAAGTGTTATCATTATTGGTTAAAAATACGATCTAATTAGTTTCAAAAATAGGAAAAAAATGATTTATAGAAATGTAATTTATAAACACTTTGTTAAGAAGATAAAATGGTTTGTTAAAAGATGACCTGTCAAATGTTTCAAACAAAATAAAAGTTGATTTGTTATAGAAATATACTTTGTAAGTACATTGCTAAAACATTGTTACAAACCGTGGAATCTTGTCATGTTTTTGTTTGACACGAAACGATATAACAATGTTTTATATAATAGGAACAAGGTGATGTGTGCTTTGCAATCATCCTGAGCCATTCCCCTCTGAACTGGAAGTACCTAAAACATAAAATGCAAACTGTTAGCACACAGCCTAGTGAGTTCCCGAAGATACCACATACCATATATAATAAACACATAATAGGCCCTGTTCGGTATATAGATCGGGCCCCGCCCAACATACATATAACATATATCAAATAAGCACATACACATGCACTAATCACAAAGATACATAGCATACAAAATGTTCATCGGGCCACGTCCGGTAAGCATACAAGTACATAACACATGCAAGTGTCTGCAGATAACTAGCATATTAACATAGTATAATTATGGGTCGGATTTGGAGCCTTCAACCTGCTAAACACAGTGTGGAAACTCACCTCACACTATTGAATCACACTGAAAGATCTATGGCTATTGGTCTGACGAATCCCTGAGCTATCAAATACCAAATATCATCCAATTAACAATTAGATTCCAATCCATAACCATCAGTCCATACTTAGGGTAAAAAGATCATTTTACTCCTTACCTAGTTTGTTCCAAGATTAATACCCAAACCTACAATCCAGAAGGCCGAATTCCAAATAATCATCCAAGGCCCAATTATGGCCCAATTTTCCAAATTGAGCCAAAATCCCATTGTGGGCCCTCTTAAAATAATTGGCAGCCCAAAAACCTAATGGCCCAACAGGGCCCAAAACTACTAAGCCCAAAATATAGCCCAACCGAAGCCCAAACATCTGAAGTTCAACCCTGTTGAGTACACGGGGCATACTCAGATGTACGCTAAGCGTACACGCTTTAGGGCTTGTACATGGCGTGTACTGGCTTGTACGCCCAACATACTTCCTCATTCAGCCATCTTTCATTTTTAAGCCTTAGTTCATTAAGACATTGCTCTAAAACATAGATCTAACATCCTTGAGCTGGTTAATCACGTAAAATTGCTAACTTTACGTTCATGCATAGCTAAATGAAGCTCTTAAAGCTCAAAGGGACTTAACAAATGACTTATTGCATGCATGAGAGCAAAAACACATAAAGTTTGCATCTTTATGCTTAAGAAACTCCTAATAAGCTTAGGTCTAAAAGAATAAGCCCTTCAATCATCCTAACTCATCAAACCAACCCAAAAAGGGACCAAAAGCATAAAAACTAAGACATGAAAAAATCTAAGCATGGAGAAGACAAGGTTTGGACTTGATACCTCTAAAAACTTGCAAAATGAGTGATGATTCTGGATCTCTAAACTTCCCACCAATAAAAGCACCTTCACCCTTCTTCAAATCCTTCAAGATGAGTAAAATAAGCACCAACTTCTTCTCAAAAGCTCAAAAACACTACAATAGAGGCTTAAGGTAGATTTTAGGGTTTAGAAGATATAGGTGTTGGTAAAGAGGCCAGCCCTAAATTAGGGTTTCATTAACCTCCAAGTATGCTAAGTGTAACCCTCGTACGCCCAACATATGTGGCCTCTTATCCGCGATCCAATTCCACCCTAGTAAATAGGGCGTACCACTAGTACAATAAGCGTACCATGTGGTACGCCTTATGTACTAGCTTCCCAGCTAGTATGCTAAGCGTACCATGTGGTACACCCCACGTACTACTCGAAGGACCAAAATGCAATAGTTAAATATAAAAGGGCTAAATAGGAACATACCAAAACTAAGTGTTACAGAGAAGGAGCTCACTAGAGAAGTGTTGGTAGTCGTGGAGCTTGTAGATCCAGACCTTGTTCACCTTGATCTTTCTTCTGGAGGTATAAAGGTTCAATATTGATGGTTCTTTAATGTAGATCTAGTTTTAGGTTATGTTATGAGCTTGCTTTGGTTCTATGGCTAGGATCTTGTGAGTAGAAGTTATGTTAGACCCTTTGAGGCTCTTTTCTAGTCGTTTTTGAGGTCATTAAGTTATAAAAATCGAATCTTGATGGGTATATCTCTTCGATGAATGAGTTAGTGGCCTATTAGTAAAGTTATGAATCTAGGGCTTTGGTTTGGATTTCATTAAGCCATTCAAAGTCATTAAGTGGGGAACTTTATGACTTAAGACATACCTTAGAGTTAGATCTGTGAATTAGAGGTTTTGTTCTTTAAGCATTAAGAGCTTAAAGTTGAGTTGGGCAGTTGAGTAGTACGTTGGGTGTACCCTCCTGGTGCGATGCGTGTATCGGGTCCCAACCATTATCCCTTTCTTCGATCGAGCAATACGTTGGGCATATTGGGGTGATACGCAGGACGTACTCACCAGAAGCCTATATGATTCTTTCTTGGGACTTGGGTCATTTGGGATTGAATTATTGGGTTAAGTATAGGAAGGGTAAAATGGTATTTTACCCTTAGTATTATAGAATAAGAATTGGACCTTTGATTGTGGTTTATTACCCTAATTATCTATTAGGATGATTTTGGATGTGCTCAGTGTTAGTAGCCCTATAGCAGTAACACGTGTGTGATTCAATCATCATCAGATTGAGGTGAGTCTCCTCATAGTATTTACGGGTCGAAGGCACCAATACCATCTTATTAATTATGATTAGGGGATGCTAGATGTATGTATGACTCTTGCATGTACTGTATGTGTTTGTATGTATATCGGGAGGGACCTAATAAATGTGTTGGGCGGGGCCCATCGCATGTTACTGACAGATCTGTATCGGGTGGGGCCCGATGTTGGGTGAGGCCCCTTGTATATATGGTATGTGGTATTTGGAGAACTCATTAAGCTCTATGCATTGCATTGCATCTAACGTGTTCTGCATCTTATGACTCGATTTGTAATGTGATAACTATTAATACTATTTTATACTTGATGGATTTTGGAAATGAATGGATGAATGGTTGATTTTGCCGGTTTAAAAAGTAAAAAAAAAAAATTACTTCGAATTTTAGGACGTTACAGTAGGCATTCTGATGTACCTCATGCTGACAAGGCTAAACCTGGCTTTTGCAATTGGTATATTAAGTGGATTCATGCAATTCCCAAGAAACCACACCTTATAGCAATTAAGCGAGTCTTAAGGTACGTGAAATCAACCAATGGGCAGTGTATATGGTTTAAGATGGAGAAGGAGCCCAAGCTAGTTGGGTTTTGTGATGCAGATTACGGAGGATGTTTGAATGAAAGACAATCCACATATGGCTATGTGTTTATGTTTGGTTCAAGTTCAGTTTTGAGGTGTAGTAAACGCCAACTAATTGTGTCTTTGTCAATAATAGAAGCAAAATATCAGGTTGATGTTGTTTTGACCTGCAGTAGAAAGTAGATTGTGGAGTCAAGATGTTCTGTGATAATCTTTCTTCAATTAAGCTTGTTGAAAACCCAAATTTTCATGCAAGAACGAAACACATGGGGATCCATTATCACTTCATACGTGAAAAGGTGCTGAAGGGAGAAATCCAGTTGAAACATATTGATACTATAAAGAAGGTTGCAAACACTTTCACAAAGAGCTTATTGGATCCCAAGGTGTTGAAGTTTAATAAAAAGATAGGTCTTGGCTGACATGGATATTAATATTTATGTCATTTTAATATTTAGCTATCTTGAATAACTAGTTTGTTTTACTTTTTTTGGTCGCTAGAAGTAATTGGTTTTCCCTAAAGGCTAGTTAGATGTTATGGACTAGTGGGTGGCAACTTAGTTTCTAGTTTTCAACATTTTCTTTTCATGTTTATTATGTATGTGGTTGTACTTTCTTTTCAGCTCAATGATGATAGAAGCCTACAACCAAAAATACTTGCATTGTCTTGTTTTCTTTTCTTTGTTCATACCCAAAAGCAAGCATGTTTCTTTCCACTGTTCGTAGCACATACCAACACAAGCTATTTTGATTTCTATGATCATGGATTTCTACCCTACATAACCCATCGTCTACCCCCATGTATGAATAGTTAAATCAGTTATAATCATGGATGTTGATCAGGGTCGGTCCAAACGTATATAGGGCCCGGAGCGAAAAGAAAAAAAGGGACCCTTAAAGAAAAATATAATAAAGATTCAAAAAAAATCATTTATTCTTTACTATAATCACGTTCAATTAACAATAACAATCAAGTCAAATTGTTTATCTTTTGAGCTACTTTGAGTTTGAACCAAATTTAGGCCCTAAAAATCATTTTGGTAATAATTGGTTTATACATACACTATATAATCTAGAAATTTTGGGCCCCGTTGAGTTGTGGGTCCTGAGCGGTCGCCCGGGTTGCCCACCATCTGGACCGACCCTGATGTTGATTAAAGTTTATGATCCATGATAATATGGAAATTGGGATCAAACCAGGTGTTTATCTAAAAACGATCTCCGTTGTGATTCAGTCTCTTAGTAAATGTCAACATGATTCACCTCTACAATCAAATTATTTAATAACAAATGTATAGAACAAACAAAAAAACATTGGATGTGTGATATATCAAAACGCATGTATCACCAAGAAGAACATATTCTGATATTCATATAACCGTTTGTTATTTTAATAATATGTTTATAATTCAAATTTTGTATCAAAAATAGAAAATTCTATTTTAAGAAAACGGTTAAAACCAATTTTTCGACCATATGCACTTCCATGACTCAAAGGTCAAAGCCACCAAAACGAGACGTCGAGAAGACTTCTGACTCTCATCTGTTTGTTAATGTTCTTGTCGTTATTGGCACCAACCCTCCGGTGTTTATTCTAACCGGCCTGCAAATTTTGTTTCTACTCCCTCACCTTTCCGAAATCCGAATCTTTCTTTCTCTAATGGCGTCTTCTTCTTCTCCTACTACTTGTATATACCTGATCACACGCACTCCTCCCAGGGTTCAACTCAATGGCTTCCGCCATGACTGCTTACATCGCCGTGGTACTGACAACCATCATCCTTCTCTTCACTGTCACTCACTCATCGACCCTTGGAGTTGAATACGTGTCTCGTCTTCTTCAAGTTCAGGATCGAGAGAGAGCCCCGTCGTCTGTACAAATTTCTGCTGCTAGAGCGGTGCTTGATCGCCTCATTCCTTCCCATTCACCTAGTTTCGACTTTCAGATCATCACTAAGGTAAATTCAATATCGTTGATTAATTAATTTGTGACTTGGAGCTCTGTATTTAATTTAGGTTTTAGTTTACTAGAATTGGATTCTGATATTTGATTTCCCGCACATATTTTGTGAAAATTTAATTGACTGATTAAGTCAATCGGATAATAATACTGTTCTCTCTGATTTTCCATGTTCAACTATCCGTCATCGGAATTGAATTCATTCGTGTTTTTCTGATAAGTAAATATAAATTGGCAATCGGCAATAGCAGAAAAACTTAGGTTCAATCATGTTAATTCACAAATCATATATGGCCTAAACTAATTGCTCCAACAGCGTTAGAATCATTAAATCATCATAAAATCACGCGCAAACTAGTACTTTGACACATTAAACAACCTTACAATCAAACTGAACCACTGTCGCTTTCTTATTTACAGGAGCATTGTGGTGGAGTATCCTGCTTTTCAATAAGCAATCATCCTTCTTCAAATGTGCAGGGTTTCCCTGAAATTCTGTATGCTTATTCTTCCATTACTTACCAACTTCAGGATTCCATGTAATCAATTGGCTTCTTTTTGTGAAATCTTGATCAGAATACGTGGTGTGACTGGAGTGGAACTACTTTCTGGTGTTCATTGGTACTTGAAAAACTTGTGTGGGGCCCATATTTCATGGGACAAAACTGGTGGTTCACAGCTATCTTCAGTACCTAAACCAGGATCTCTTCCCCGAATGCAAGATGATGGACTTCTGATACAAAGACCTGTTCCTTGGAATTACTACCAGAATGCTGTCACATCTAGTTGTAAGTTGTTTATATATTATATTCCACTTAAATTTATCAAATATATTAAATAAATTTATATTTTTTAAAGATACATTTGCTTGGTGGGATTGGAAGAGATGGGAAAAGGAGATTGACTGGATGGCTCTTCAAGGCATCAATATGCCTCTAGCATTTACTGGACAAGAAGCTATTTGGCAAAAAGTATTTCAGGTAGAAATACTTTTTTACTTACCCTAATAACCTCATCATATTCTTTTCTTTATCTTGATTCTTGATAAATGTTTGTTGATCTTTTAGCAGAAGTTTAATATTAGCAGTTCAGATTTGGATGATTTTTTTGGAGGGCCCGCATTTCTTGCTTGGTCTCGCATGGCTAACTTGCATGGGTGTGTTTCTTAGTTCTTATTTTGCTTTCTGATTATCGACTTTATTTCACCTCTTATTATATTTAAAGAACTAAAGATTATATACTATTGAATATTGATTGTAGATGGGGTGGCCCACTGCCTCAAAGCTGGCTAGATCAACAACATGTAATGCAAAAGAAAATTCTTGATAGAATGTATGAGCTAGGAATGACTCCAGGTACCTTAAGTTGTTGACTATATTGGTAAATTTACTTTTTTATCCTCTCTTACTATTACTAACACTCAGTATTATTGTGAATTGTGATGCAGTCCTACCAGCTTTCTCAGGAAACGTACCTGCAGCTTTGAAAAATGTGTATCCATCAGCAAAGATAACACGTTTAGGGAATTGGTAAGATTTAATTACCATCACTTCTAAATGCAAGGGTAAAATGGTCATTTACTCGGCTTCAAAAGAAACAATCTTTATGTATACAACACTTTATTGAGACAAACATCATCATATCACCAATTCAGCCATGTTATCTATACATGACTTAATTGGACAAAGTAAGATAAACAAATCTGTAGCTTTGCAGAAACCCCATAAAGATTTGAAGGTTTGCAACTTTTGTAGCTCCATAAATTGGGGCAAAATTGTTCTTCAATGGGCTTTTTGTTTTCTAAATATAAAGCATGCATATAATGGTGATTATGTTATTCTTCCTCCTAGGTTTACAGTTGACAGCAACCCTAAATGGTGTTGTACATATCTTCTTGATGCAACTGATCCTTTATTTATCGAGATTGGAAAAGCATTCATAAGTCAACAAGTCAAAGGTGTGTGAGTGTCTCTCAAACATCAAAATCATCATATTATATTATCAATGCAGTTTTCTTTTTTCTTCTAATATATGTAATACTTAAGTTAACTTTTTGTTGTCATCAGAGTATGGACGAAGCAGCCACATATACAACTGGTAAAACATTTTTCTAACTAGATCATAATTATTTATTTATATTATAAATGTCAGAATTAATATCTTTATGATATAAAAACTTATATTTGCAGTGATACATTTGATGAAAACACACCACCAACAGATGACCCAAACTACATTTCTTCCTTAGCTGCTGCAATCTTTAATGGAATGCAAAGTGGTGATGATGAAGCTGTTTGGTTAATGCAGGTAAACATTCAAACACAATTTTTTTCATCAACTTTAATATCTTATGATGAATCTTTTATTTAAAAATATTATTTTGTTAACAGGGATGGCTTTTTGCATATGATCCATACTGGAGGCCTCCACAGATGCAAGCACTTCTACATGCAGTTCCCATTGGGAAAATGATTGTCCTTGACCTTTTTGCTGAAGTCAAACCTATCTGGATTACTTCAGATCAGTTCTATGGTGTCCCTTATATCTGGTGCATGCTGCATAATTTTGCAGGAAATGTTGAAATGTATGGTGTTCTAGATTCTCTAGGATCTGGACCTGTTGATGCTCGTATTAGCAACAACTCAACAATGGTAATTAAAAAAAATAATAATAATAATTAATAAGTCAAGTGTCATTTCTAATATTCAAAATCATAATTTATTTCATTCTTAATGTTGTGTTTCGCTTTTAGGTTGGTGTTGGAATGTCAATGGAAGGTATTGAGCAGAATCCTGTAGTTTATGATCTTATGTCTGAAATGGCATTTCAACATAAAAAAATCAATGTAAAGGTAACATCAACTTCTTTTTTTTTTTTTTTACCAATAATAGTAATAAAAAATAAATAAGTAGATTGCTATTATGTAAAAGAAAATAAAATTTACCCTATTGTTCAATGTTCATTCAGACATGGCTTGATTCATATTCAATCAGAAGATATGGAAAATTTGTTCCATCTATACAAAAGGCATGGAATATATTATATCACACGCTTTATAATTGCACAGATGGCGCTTATGTAAGTTTTTTTTTTTTTTTTTAATTATTTTAATTTCACTATGATTTTAACTTAAGAAAGTTTTTTACAGGATAAAAATAGGGATGTGATAGTGGCATTCCCAGATGTGGATCCATCTTTTCTTTCTAGAAAAAAAAAATTGAATAAAAAAAATCACCTAAAAGACACAGATGAAGCTTTTGACAAACCCCATTTATGGTATTCAACATCAGAAGTTATTCGTGCTCTACAACTTTTCATTGAAGGTGGAAATGAATTATCAGAAAGCAACACTTTTAGGTAAATATAAATATATATAATTGCAATGGTTTCCTAAAGGTGTATTTAATTTGTTGACTATGCTGACCAAATTCAGGTATGACTTAGTTGACTTGACAAGACAAGCATTGGCAAAGTATGCGAATGATTTATTTCTAGATGTGATTGAAGCGTATGAGTCAAAGTATAGTGATGGTGTTGTTTTACTTAGTGAAAAGTTTCTTGAGCTTGTGGATGACGTGGACATGTTATTGGGTTGCCATGAAGGGTTCTTATTAGGACCATGGTTGGAGAGTTCAAAGCAACTTGCAATAAACAAAGAACAAGAGAAACAGGTGACATGGATTTTTTTTTTTTTTTTTTTTTTTTTAATACCAATATTTTGTTTTTGACTTTTTATTGATGATAACAGTATGAATGGAATGCAAGAACTCAAATCACAATGTGGTTTGATAATACAGAGGAGGAAGCTAGTCTGCTTCGTGATTATGGTCAGTACAAATTTACTGTTTTTTTTTTTTTAAAACTAATTTGGTTGCAATGGGAATGTAACCCTACACTTTATAAATAGTTACAATTTAGTCCTTGCTTTATGTGCAGGAAACAAATATTGGAGTGGGCTTTTACGAGACTATTATGGACCTCGAGCAGCTATTTATTTTAAATATTTGAAAGAAAGTTTAGCAAAAGGAAACGGGTTTAATTTAAAGAGTTGGAGGAAAGAATGGATTAAGCTTACAAATGAGTGGCAGGATGGTAAATATGTGTACCCTGTTAAAAGGGAAGGTGATGCCCTCAACATATCGCGGTGGCTTTTTGACAAATACTTGCGTGATTTGGCTATAATAAGTGATCATTAGATTATATGACACTTCAAATTTACTATCAAATGTCAACTTTTATTGAATGAAACTTGAAATGTTTGTTAAGGTGAGCAAAGTTGAGCAGATTGATAACATTATTTCTTCTCGATGAGTTCAGAAACATGAGATTATAATCAATCTATAATCTTTTATAAATTCTTGATCGTGTGTTTTTGGAATTAAAGAATATCATTTCAATCTTGGAAATGAAAAACCACCTTAATGACAGCTTTCTACTAGCTCCTAATATCGCTTAGTAAAATGAACATGAAAACATTCGGATCCCACGGTTTTTTGTTCATGAAGTCATCATATTTCTGTTCATGAAAGCCCTTATTAACAATAAAAGACACTTTTATAGAAACTCCTAATTTGTTTTGAAACACCAAAGTTCCTTAATTTGGTTGAACCAATACAAAATGCATATTATCCATTATTGTTGGTTGATTACATACATGATACGACCTATAATATCTGAATAAGCAAATATAAAAAATATAAATATGGATCAAATATCATAAGTTACATGTATCCATCTTGTGCAAACAACTAGTAAGAGTTGTAAAAAAAAATGCATGTTCGTGTTTGTCCAACAAAACTAAGAAATTCTCTTTTCAAATGTAAGTTTTGGAACTTATTTGTTCAACAAAACTAATAACTCTTTGATTAAAGTGACACGTCACACCTCATAAAAAATAGGAGATGTAAGAGAGCAATGGACTCTTGTTTTTTTTTTTTTTTTTTTTACTTTTAGTTATTTTTTATACATCATTTACCAATAAACTTGTTGTTTGTGTTCAAAATATACCATTATGATAAACTATTGTAAGTATAGCCGGTTTTCGACATCCCTGGCATCTACGACAAACCTCTTTTTTGGCAAAGTTTTTTTTTTCTAAACAAGCATACAAACTCAAGATCTGAAGTTCTTGGTGTTTGTGTGTGTTCTCTGTGTTTCTGTAAAAGAGAGATGGTTGTGAAATAAAAACACATACGCAATCTTTTCAGACATGTATGTTTTCAGTGTTTCTATATAAAAGAGATGGATCTGAAACAAACAAATAAACACCCAAACACACATGAAAATCATGGTTCTTGAGTTCACAAGACGTATGAGGAACAAAATTTCAAATGAACAAGATTTCATTTATGTAAACTTATGTTGGTCAAAAAGACACGGGAGAAGATGACCGAAATGTGAGCACTAAAAACAAGCTTAATGGTAAATGGTGTAGAACAGTGAGACTATGCAGGTGTTTTTTAACACCAAAAAACAAGTTACATACAAAACATAATAACATCTAATAAATTTCAAATATATATCATATAGAAGTAGTAGAAACATTCGTTAGAATGGGTCATAAAAAATCCTGGTCTCAAGGCATAATTGTTCACGTGCCTATGTATTAGAAATTAGGTACTCCTTTGTATTTGCTTTGTGTATAAATACATGTATCAGAAGCTGTATCAATACAAAGAAAAAGATTACTTTCACTTCAATTCTCAATAGCTTTTATGGTATCAGAGCATAAGTGGTCCATTGATTTTTTTTCCACCATGTCTACCCCTACCACCACCCAACAGCTTCTTGTAGCAACGACGATTGCCTCTACAAATCTGAACTTTCAGATTCCTTCTCTTAGCATCAAATTAGACAGAGAAAATTATTCCCTTTGGCCCACCACCATCATCTCTGCCTTGGAGTGTTCTGACCTAGAATCATTTGTTCTCAACCCCTCTCCACCGGCTGAAATTATTTCCCCCACTGCTAAACCTACTCCCTCCACCACTCCTACCACACCCACTCTCAACCCTAAATACACCACTTGGAAGAAAAGGGACCGATTTGTCCTTCTTTGGTTGAAATCAACTCTAACTGAGCGGTGTATTTCCTCTGTTGCTCGCTTTTCATCTTCTCACGAAATCTGGCTTACTCTTGAGCGTACCTTTCAAGCCTAAACCCATGCCAAACGGATGGCTCTTCAATGATAGATTATCTTGACCGCAAACGCCAAATTGCGGACTCTTTCGCTGATAATTTGACTCCCATCTCAGATGATGACCTAATCACATACATTCTCCAAGGCCTGGATTCCTCTTACAGCTCCTTCATATCTGTGTTTCTTATGCACTCTGAAACTGCTACTGTTGATGATCTTATAGGCTTGCTCCTACATGAAGAAGCTCGCATTGATGTCGATCTTGATCGTCAGGCTACATCCCAACTGCCCTCCACTCCGATTCCCACCCCCTACATAGTCACTCCCGATTGCAAATCAGGTATCTCACACCAACACCAACACCAATCGTCTCTCCCCTCACTCCTTTGGTAGTTCATCTAACTCCTGTGGTCTTGAACATCACAGGCGTCGCCTCCACTGTCAACTATGCAACAAGCCAGGTCATAAGGCTATAAACTGTTAGCAACAGGGTAACCAGACCGACTACCCCTCCCGTCGGCCCAATTCTACTTCTTGTGATCCACCTAGACAGGCCCATCTCACCACTGGATCAAGTCCATCCACTATCATGGATCCGGTCTGGTACTTCGATATCGGTGCCACTGATCATGTTTCACTGGATCTTAGCAAACTACAAATCACTGCACCTTACACATGCGACAGAAAACTCCAAGTTGGGAATGGTAACCACTTGCTTATAACTCATTCTGGCTCTTCTTCTATATCTTCATTGCAATTACCAAAAGTCTTTATTGTTCCCAGATTAACCAAAAAATTGTTAAGTGTTTCCCAACTCACACAGGATAACAATGTATATATCGAATTTTGGCCTAACCATTGTACTATCAAGAATTTTCAGGGCAAACCTCTCATTCAAGGCCACGTTGAAGGTGGTCTTTATCGATTGTCACATTCTCCAAATAAAACAACTATGGTCTCTCATGGATTCACGCTTCTATGGTTGGATGGCACAACAGGCTTGCGCACCCACATGAGGGAATTCTCAGACATCTCGTTTCTACCTACAACCTTCCCACTTCATCAAATAAACTTGTCACACCCCCGAACCAGATGGCGGAATCGTACGGGGCTCGTGTGACTAACAATTGAATAATCATCACAATGAATATACATGGAACATAGCACATTCATCACCAACATTACATAATACAACTGACATTGTTTACATCAAGTACATTGTTAAATTACATAGGTTCAAATTGTTAAAAATACGACAATTGATATTACATAAACAAACCAAACACACTTGCAATTCTTCCAGCTTAAGGATTATCTGAGAATACAAGTTATTTTGAAAACATCAACATATATAATGTTGGTGAGTTCATAAGTATGGTTGATTAAAAATCTTGTATCTTTCGTAAAAACCCAGAAAATCCGATATTTTCTGTAAATTGTCTGAAAATGATGTGTAAATCGAGTATAAATGCATGTGCGAAATTTATAGTTATAACGTATATGAGTGTATTGTATCGTGAATAAGTGATATTTGTATATGACTATTTTTCCCAGAAAATCCGATATTTTCTGCCTTAATGCCTATGTTCTTGACTCATTGATTAAGTGTTTTTCGTGTTGACACAATTAAAGAATTAATCTTATATGTGTTTAAGTGGTGTTGAATCCCTACATGAACCGTTATAACCATACACAATACACAAGGTTGGAAAACTCGCTACTCGGTACCTGCTCGGCCGAGGGGGGAGTAGCGAGTACTCGGATTACTTGGGGAGTACTCGGATACGGTAAATCATGTAGAAAAATATTTTAAAGGAAATTATACATGTCAAAGATCATAATTTAAAATATTAGTTAATGTAAATTCATTACAAAATTAGGTGAATACCAACAAAAGATACATTTTCAAATGTTAAATTGTTTCAAAATTAGACAGCATTCTTTAAGATTATAAATTTAGATTAATCATTAAATCTTCCTCTTCCAATGTAGCTCCGATTTGTTCGTTGATGTTAACTCCATCCGATTCATATTCAACATCTTCATTTAGTTCTTCCTCATCCTCCGACACAAATTCTTCCTCATCAAGTTCTCTCAATCTAGAACTTCTACGATTTTGTAAAAACTCCTCGTCACCCATACCTTCATCGGGCTCAACTTCATCCAACAATACATCATTTTCAACAATCCATTCTTGAGCCTCACTTGCATCTGTTGCTAAAAGTACTTCCATATACTTAGTCTTCCTTTTCTTGTTATTTTCCATCAAATTTGCATTAAATTGAACAAAAACAAGATTGTTCAATTTAGACGTCTCTAATCTATTTCTTTTCTTTGTATGTACCTACAAAATTAAATAAGCAAAAAAAAAGTTTGATAAATATACAAGTTTTGAATAAACTACTTAAAAATTATAATTAAAATTTAGTAAACTACCAACCCCTTCAAAAGTGTTCCAATTTCTTTCACACCCCGAAGAACTAGTTGTTAAAGAAAGTATCCTTGTAGCAATCTTTCTCAATTGTGGAGTTGAGGCACTATAAGCTACCCAACAATTCGCTACAAGTTGAAAAAAACATTGTTAAATTTATTATTTTGGAATTTTATAGAATAAATACAATTTAAAATATATTACCCGGAGCAAATTTGTCGTTGTTCACCTCACATCCTTTAATTGCAATTTCTCGACTAAATTTTTCTTGTTTACCCATGTAAACCGGCAACTCAACCATCACGATATGGTTTTGCAAAGAATGCTCTCGCAGATATATTGTATCAACAAAGTCAACAATCGAATCGGTCACATCAATATCATTTTGGATCTTCGGATCCTTGTAAAGATAATATCGATTTAAAAGGTAAGCCATCAAATGTAGGGGTGTATCAAGCCTACCTTTCATCTTTTTTGAAATGATATCCATAATAAACTCATAAGCTTTTTTTTGTTGCCCAAAGCATTAATAATTTCTTGTTTCACATTTTGAATCTCACCATATACAAAACCTATTGATGACTTTCGATCCGCATCAACCATCCGAAGAACTTTGACCAAAGGGGCAAAAACCTTTAAACATAATGCTACACCGGTCCAAAATGTGGCATTTACCACCGTGTCATATGCAACTTTCCCTTTAACGATGTTGCTAAGTCTACATGATTCCCATTCATCGCTTGTAAACATTTGTTTTAGTTGGGCCTTTTTA